TCTCTCATCGATGTTTCTAACTCTCTATCCCATTCCCTTCTTCTCTGTAAAAAATCAATAAGATTTTTTTTTTTTAATGGCTCATAGGTATTACTGGTTACTGTGATGTTTCGATAACAGTTCTGCCACATTAAAGCAAACTTTCTCCAAGGAAACATCTCTTCTGCTCATAAATGTCAAGTCAGCTCCATTTCCCCCAATTCAAAGAATAATATCCATTATACTCAACATCACACTCAGTGGTGATAAGTTGAAAGCTTTCTCTCTAAAATCAAGAACAAGATAAGTATGCCCACTTTTGCCATTTTATTCAACATAGCACTGGGAAGTCCTAGCCAAAGCAATTAGGCAAGAAAAAGAAATAAAAGGCATCCAAGTCAGAAAGGAAGAAATAAAACTGTCTCTATTTGCAGATGACATATTACATATTGAAAATGCTAGGCTCTACCAAAAAAAACTGTTAGAACTAATAAATAAATTCAGTATAGTTTTGGGATACAAAATCAATATACAAAAATCAATTTTGTTTCTATACACTAACAAAAAACTATCAGAAAGAGAAAGTTTAAAAATAATCCCATTTACAATTACACCCAAAAGAATAAAATATCTAGGAATAAATTAACCAAAGAGGTGAAAGATCAGTACACTGAAAACTACAAATCATGAACAGAACACACTGAGACAAAAATAAATGGAAAGATATTCCATGCTCATAAATTAGAATCATTAATATTGTTTAATATGTGCATACTACCCAAAGCAACATACCTATCAAAATTCTAATGGCATTTTTTCATAAAAATAGAAAAAAACATCCTAAAATGTGTATGGAACAAGAGATCCCAAAACAATCTTGAGAAAGAACAACAAAGCTGGAGATATCACATTGCCTGATTTCAAACTCTGTTACAAAGCTATAGCAATCAAGAGTATAATAGTGACATAAAACCAGACACACAGGTCAATGGAACAAAACAGAAAGCTCAGAAATAAACCCATGCACCCATGGTTAATTAATTTATAATAAGAAGCCAAGAATATACACTAGAGAAAGGATAGCCTCTTTATTAAATAGGACTGGGGAAAATGAACAGCCACATGCAAAAGGATGACACTAGATTCATACCTTACACCATACACAAAATCAACTCAAAATGGGTTAAAGATTTGGACATAAGACCTGAGAAGAAAACACAGGGGAGAAAGCTCCTTGGCCTCAGCCTTGGCAATTATATTTTTAATTTGACACCTAAAGCCAAAGCAACAAAAGCAAAAGTAAGTAAGACTATATCAAACTAAAAAGCTCTACACAGTAAAGAACACCATCAAACCAAAAGGCAACCTACCAAATGGGAGACAACATTTGCAAGTCATATATCTGGTAAGAGGTTAATGTCCAAAATATATAAAGAACACACACAACTTAATTGCATAATAACAAACAATCCTATTTAAAAAATAGGCAGAGCCGAAACCAGTTTGGCTCAGGGGTAGAGCTTCTTCGGTCTGCGGACTGAAAGATCCCGGGTTCGATTCCGGTCAAGGACATGTACCTTGGCTGCAGGCACATCCCCGGCTGGGGGTGTGCAGGAGACAGCTGGTCGATGTTTCTCTCTCATCGACATTTCTAGCTCTCTTTCTCCCTACCTCTCTGTAAAAAATCAGTAAAATATATATAAATAAATAAATAAATAAATAAATAAATAAATAAATAAATAAATGGGCAGAGTAACAGAAAAGACATTTTCCCAAAGAAGTCAAAGATGAAAAAGTACTTAACATCACTAATCATCAGGGAAATCCAAATCAAAGCCACAATGAAATACTGCATCACCCCTGTTAGAATGGCTATCATAAAAAAGACAATAGGTAGCAAGTATTTGAGAGGATGTGGAGAAAAGGGGACTCTTGTACACTGTTGGTGGGATTGTTAATTGGTGCAGCCTCTATGAAAAATAGTATGGCAGACCCTCAGAAAACTAAAATAGAACTACCACATAGTACAATCCAGCAATTGCTCTTCTAAGTATATAACCAAAGAAAACAAAATCATTATCTTGAAGAGGTATTTTCACTCCCATGTTTACTGAAGCAATTTTTACAACAACCAAGGAAACAACCTACATATCCACAAACAGATGAAAGCATGAAGAAAACGTATGTATACATACACACACACACACACACACACAATGGAATATTATTCAACCATAAATATGAAGGAAATTCTACCATTTGCAACAGCATAAGTAGAACTTAGGGGCATTATGCTAAGTGAAATATGAAGTAAGTCAGATAGAGAAAGATAAATGCTATCTGACCTCACTTATATGTGGAATCTAAAAAGAACTAAACTCATAGAAACAGAGAACATATAGGTGGTTGTCAGAGGCAGGGGGTGGAGGGTATGTGAAATGGGTAAAAGTTACAAACTCTGATTTATGAGATGTAATGTACAACATGGTGACTATAGTTAATAATACTGTATTGTATAGCAAAGTTGCTAAGAAAGTAGATCTTAAAAGTTCTCACCGCAAGAAAAAATGTATAACTCTGTGAGGTGATGAGTGTTAACTTAGTTGGCAAAGTTTGCACAATATATACTTATATCAAATCTTATACTGTATATCTTTAATTAGATATTACATGTCAATCATGTCAATTAAACTGAGGGGAAAGTTTTTTTTTAAATAATGTCCATGTGTCTGTTTAGAGGAGATTGATATTTTTAAATATAATCCCCTGGCCTAGTGGCTCAGCTGGTTGAACCATCGTCCCATATACCAAAAGGTTGCTAGTTAGATTCCTGATCAGAACACATACCAGGTTGAGGATTTGATCCCCATTCACAGCACGTATGCGAGGCAACCAATCAATGTTTCTCTCACTAATTTAATATTTCTCTTCCTTCCTTCCTCTCTCTCTAAAATCAATAAACACTTATCCTCAGATGAGAATTAAAAAATATTTTTTTAAATAAATATAATCCATGAACCAGAAGCACTGCTCTGAAATTACTTTTGACACAAAATTAAATGTATAACCATGAGGACTAAAACATAGGTTATTTTACACATTGGTTAAAAATTAGAATTCTGTGATTATAGTTCCACAGTCTGTATGAACAAAAATTGATCACATTATGAATAAACTAAAAGTCTATAAGCAATTAATTTATTATAACTTTATGGATTTGATGGCACATTAACAACAAAAAAACAATCCAGGGCAGTAATGGCTATTGTGGTTTCAGAAAGGCATACGTTAAATAGAAAAAATGTTTAAATAATAACATACCTTAAGATAGAAGTCTAGTTCTAGTGGAAAAATAATTCACCACCATAATACAAAGTTACTAATTAAATGATATATTTTTTATCTCCTGATATGCATTTATAATTCTTATTTTGAAGCTAAGATTTTTATTTTTCTGGTGCCATCAAGTGGTAACATTATGAAGTGTTCTAGAGTTAAATGCAAATAACTTTGACAAAAGAATCACTATGATGTCGTATATCTATGTCAATTAAACAGTAATGATGTTGTAGCACAAAAATTATCTAAAAAGAAAAGGGAAAAATATCAGAGCCGATTGTTTGCAACTCATCTCTATTTTAAACCCCCAACCCAAAATAACAGTTAAGACAAAGAAAAATGAGTAGATCTTTAAGACCAGAATGCTCTATTAGCAAAACAAAAAAAACAAAAAAAAACACTCCAATAGATTATGAAACTATTAGAAAACCAAGTTTGTATTAAAATGATATTTATTATCAGTCAAACCAAGAGAAATGTTCCTTCCTGAAACTCCATTAATATGGCTGTAAAATAATTATTTTTAAGGCAAAACCCCACAAGGACAGAGACCGAGAGAAAAGATAGCAGCAACACAATTTTAAAAGCCAGCAAGGAGATGGATGAGTGGTTACAGACTTGGGGAAACTCCAGAAAGCTGCCCAACTGACATGGCACTAAATCTCTCCCAAAGTTTAGGAGCTGGTGGCTCTAGGAAGCTGTGGACACAAGAGTGAAGGATTAAAAACAAGCAACTTAGTCAAAATCAGTTAAAAAGCAGTTAGGATGCCACTACACACACTTCCTCTTCAACTCCATGCAGCCAAGCATTCATCTTTACACACATTAAAAGAATGAAGGCTATACTGTAGGAAGAGTACATCAGAATGCTCTGGGCTACAGGACACAGGCACAGAGAGGGCAGGGAAAGTGTGAACAATACAGGAGATGGTAGTAATCTGAATGGTACTAACAAGTCAAAGATCACACACACACAAAATATGAAAATGATAATTTTCTAGAAATAAAACCACTGGAAGAAGGTCTCATCAACCTTAAATTATTGTGTCCAGGAAGTCATGTAACTAACTGCAGCATGCTTCACTCTGGTTTTATAAGGAAAAGGCAAATAATCAAACAAAAACTGATGCTTTAAAAAAAAAAAAAAGTAAATTCTATTTTCTACTTATAGACATTCAGCAACATTCAACTCTTCATGCCCCTATATCATTCTCATGCATTAGCTGAGAATTTACTGCAACAAACGAAGAATAAAATAGTAGGCAAATCCAAGGACCTTTTACACTCTTGGTTTAAAAGCCCATTTCATCTCCTCTCTTCAGGCCATTGAGAGTAGGTGCGCTAAAGAGTCTCTGTGAACACTCCTAAGAGAGGTGAAGGCTAGTGACCATTGGCCATGTCAGAGAATACACACATTATTCATATTAGAGATTTAGAGACTTGTTTTTTTAATCCTGTTTTGTTGCTTAGTTTATCAAAGTAGAGAGTTAAGTGTATCTGATACTGTCATGTAACCAGAAGGACATACCCATATTTAGGCCATTTAATCTTCAGTATTTCTCATTTTCAGTCTTTTTTTTTTTTTTTTTTTTTAGAGAATTATATATAAGACAAATAGTTATATGTATACATGTTTTTTCCAGATACCAACAAAAGAAACATTAGTATACACAAAACTGTACCTTGTACACCTTCTAGAAGTAAATCAACTCCCTTCCTATAAAAATCAGAAGCAGCTTCGTAGTCATCTTCTTCTTCCTTCTTTAAAGCCAGCTTTATGAATTCTCCTGCTTTCTCCAAATAATTTTTCTTGCCAAGCTTGGATTTTAAACTGCCAGGAAAGAGGCTACGATTTTCCCGTTCTTCTGTCTTGTTCTGCTCACTGTCATAAGCAGCAGCCCCTAGTGCTGAAGGATCCGAAGAAAGATTGAGACCAAAAGTTCTAGTGGGAGAATTTTGATTGGAAGCCATTCCATCATCTAACTCAGCAAGGGAATCCACATCAACAGTAAGAGATATCAGGTCACTGTCACTGGAGAAGCCTGGAAATACAATCATAATAGTAAACATATTAAATTGAGAATCAACCAAAACAATACAAATCATGCTAATAATTTTTTCATCTATCAAAGTCAATTAGGAAGGCTATAATCTACTGATGAAGTCAATGTCTAGCAATTTGTTTTAGCATAGTTCGTTCATTTTTTTCCAATACTTGTATTTTTTATTTTTTTAATCCTCACCCAAGGATATGTTTATTGGTTTTTAAAGAAAGAAAGAAAGATGTGACAGAAACATCAATAGGTTGACTCCCCTCTGCACCTGGACTGGGGTTTGAAACCATAACCCAGGTAAGTGCTCTGACTGGGAATAGAACCTGCAACCTTTTGGTGTAGAGGACTATACCCCAACCAACTGAGCCACCCTGCCAGGGAAGTTCATTCATTTTTGCACTATCATCAACAACTCTGGAAGAACATATCCTTGCCTTAATTATCAAACTAAAACGGAAAATGTTTTTATCTAGCCTTGTCAAAAAGAGCCTTTACCACAAGATCTTACAAACCATTTTTAGCAAGCTCATGCTTGCACACACAGCTGATATGAACAATAATATTATGATGAAGGGAAAAAAGTAAGAGCTTTAGGGTATAAGTACAAAAGAAGTTTAGAAACCCAGCTCTTAAAACTTGTGTGACTAACAGCAAATTACTTAACAGTTTTACTTATTTTGTAGGGCATTACATGAGATCAGAGTTAATACATAAGAAGCATAATAGACTATCATTAAATTATATAACTCTAGCAATTATATAATAATTATTTAACATTTAGACAACATATTCCCAGAAGTGTGTTTTTAGGTCACCATCCATATCTAAAAACACATTTCTGGGAATATATTGTCTAAATAGTTAAATAATTATTATATAATTGCTAGAGTTATACAATAATTTGAGGTGTGCAGGAAGCAGCCAATCAATGATTCTCTCTCATCATTGATTTTTCTCTCTCTCACTCTTCCTTCCTCTCTGAAATCAATAAAAATATATTTTAAAATATATACTAAAATTTTTTTAAAATAAAAGAAAGAACTAAATTTTTAGAAATCTTTGTTTCACTCTTCCACAGCTTTTGGAGTTTTAGTCTATATTTGTATCTTAGTTTTCTAACAGAAAATGAAAAATAGGTGCTGTAAAAACTTTTAATAATGAAAATTACTTCTCCCACTTCATATAACTGACATCATGGTAAATGAGCATGATCTACAATAACAGTTACTAAAATTTTTGTCTTAAAACCTCCCTTTACATTCTCAAAAATGATTGATAACCTCAAAGAGATTCTATATAAACTTTATTTGTAAATATTTATCAATCTTAATATTTAAAAAAAAAACAGACATAATCTTTTTAATTAGACATTAAAGCCATTACAAGTTAACATAATTTTAATTTTTAAAATTTTATTTTCCAAAGGAAATAATATTTAGTCAAAGAAGTGGCACTGTTTTAATTTCTGCAAATCTTGTTAATAAAACATGGCTAGATTCTCATATTTGTTCTCTACATTCAATCTGTTGTCAGATGTTGTTCGGGTTGAAAGACTTGAATAAAATGTCAAATAGATATATAATTGAAAATGGGGCAAATATTTTAGTAGCCTTTTTAAATAATTGTGGAGACTGTCTTATAATACTATAAAACTTGACAAATAGTTGTTTCTTAAAGCTTAGTTGCCATGTAGAACATAAAATAAATTTCTATCAATTAAAATCAATTTCTGTTTGTGTTTGTATATTTTGTTAATTTTTATTGTTGAAAGTATTACATATGTCCCTATTTTTCCCCCCACTAACCCCTTCTAGCCCACCCCTGCCCCATGTACCTTGGTTGGGGCACAACCCCAGTGGGGAGTGTGCAGGAGGCAGCAGATTGATGTTCACAACCTATTGTCTATGTCCATGGGTTATGCATTAAATTTGTTTTTGTTACACACAAATCCATCTTACATACTGAGTGGATCTTTTTATCCATCATGAGTTTGTAACATTACACATTGGTCATTTTGAAAATACTGGTTTCCATAGCTACATAAAGCAGTGACAAATTTCATATTATAATATTACCACCAAAACCGAATTTGTTATTATTACCACCAATTTCACCAGAAAATTCTTTAAATATTGGAAAACTGTTAAGCTCAAAGTGGAAGATACAAGTTTTGCTAAATTCTAATTGTAGGCTGCAAACCTGAATTTTATCAGGGGCAACACATGCTGTCAGCTGTTTTCTCCTTCAAGTATTAGCTCACTTTGTTTACTTTCAAAAATAAATATGTGCCACATTCCCAAGTTGAATAATGACAGTTTGTCTGTTAATCAACCTTTCAAGTAAATATGGTGTTCCAAGAAAAAAAAAAAAGCAACTAGTTTATTGCTCAAGCGACTGTACAAGAACGTTTCCTTAAGACAACTATGGTAGTTCAGTATGCAGAAGTGCTTTGTGTAAACTTCCATTTCATCAAATATACAGTTGACCCTTGAACAATGTTGGTACTCCCAACCCCAACCCCATACAGTTGAAAATGCACATATAACTATTGACTCCAAAAAAACCTTTACTACAATCCCTTATTATCCATGAGGGATTGGTTCCAGGATCCCCTGCAAATACCAAAATCCACGGATGCTCAAGTCTCATATAGAATGGCATAGAACAGTGCATATAGTCAGCTCTTTGCATCCTCCAATCAAAAATACTGTTTTCAATATGCAGTTGGTTAAACTCATAATGCAAAACAAGGGAGATGGCCCTAGTCGATTTGGCTGAGTGGACAGAGCGTCAGCTTGTAGACTGAAAGATCCCGGATTCGATTCCAGTCAAGGGCACAAGCCTGGGTTGATCCACAATAGGGAGTGTGCAGGAGGCAGCCAATCGGTGATTTTCTCTCATCATTGATGTTTCTATCTCTCTCTCCCTGACCCTTCCTCTCTAAAGTTAATAAAAGTATGTTTTAAAAAAACACATATGGGAGATGAAGGAAAACTGTATATTTACTTTTTAAAAATCTGCATAGAAGTGGACCTGTGCAATGCAAACCCATGTTGTTCAAGGGTCAACTAGGAATACAAATATTTAATCATTATGTTGTACAACTAAAATTAATTAATGTTACATCAATTATGCCTCAATAAAATAGATTAGATAGATATAGAAAGATAGACAGAATTAATTGTGTTCCTTAAAAACAATAGATTTTATTAAATGCATAATCTGCAATGAGATTCATTGGACCTAGTAGAAATCTCTTCATTTCTATAACATTTCAACTGTACACAGTACTTCAAAATCAAAATCTTTTCCAGCAATCTATAAAATTATCTACTGTTCTAAGAAATATAAACTTTATGAGATTTTTAAAATAATTTTTAAATATTTTATGCATTTCAATGAAAATTTATTTCCTTCAATGGTGTCATTGTAGTCCACTGAAATTAATGAACAAATACAAAGTCTAAAACTTTTTCTGGTTTATGTAGCTAATCACAAAAGAAAGGAAATGCTGTCAGAGATCTTTTGTCAGCTCTCCCGTGCCTTGTCACTATAACCTTCACATCATCGATCACATTGTACTGTCTCATGCTTTGCCTGATTTTCCTTTCTACAAGAACAATGACACCAAAGGGCAAGAGGGTGAAGTTATGTATACTCAGTTTCTTTTGACCACAAAAATCTAGTATCATAGTCATATTTCCTCTTACCTTTCCAACCTTATTTTATTAGCAAAGGAAACCATTGTTAAATAAAATTACATCAGAAAAACAAGACCATCAAAGTACCGAGAAAGAAAGATAGCAAAATAAAGTAAGAAATAAGTATCCTATACATATTGTTTCAATTTCTACCTAATTCTAAATGAATCTTTCAAAGTAAACAAGCAAATAAAAAACAAGCAGATTAGGAAAAGGAATTTTTTTTTTAGCCTAACTGGGAAAAGCAAAGGGAAATAAAAAGACTTCTTATAGTTTAACCTTTTTGGAGGACAGTTTGGCAAGGCATATCAGATGCAAAAAAAATGCTTATAACTTTGACCAAGCAATTCAGCAGTTTTTACCAAAACAATCAGAGATATGAAAAAAAAGAAAAGATCTCTATATAAGAGTATTTACCACAAAAATTAGTGAAAATTTTGCAATAATAAATTTCTAACAATAGAAGAGTATGGTTTGTCTCTATAATAAAGTATTATACAGCTTTAAAAAAGTATATATAGCCCTAAGTGGTTTGGCTCAGTGAATAAAGCATCAGCATGTGGACTGAGGGGGGTTCCAGGTTCAATTCCAGTCAGGGGCACGAACCTTGGTTGTGGGCACATTCCCAGTACAGGGTATGCAACTGATCGATGTTTCTCTCTCATTGATGTTTCTAACTGTCTATCCCTCTCCCTTCCTCTCTGTAAAAAATCAATAATATATATATATATATATATATATATATATCTTTTAAAGTATGTATAGAAGAATGTTTAATGCTAAAGTATTCATGCTCTATTATGCAAAAATGACAAACTGAAAATGGGATGTGTGTGTGTGTGTGTGTGTGTGTGATTTTATAATTTAAAAACACAAATACAACGTGGCTGGTGTGGCTCAGTGGTTGAGCATCAACCCAGGAACTGAGACCACTGGTTCAATTCCCGGTCAGGGCACATGCTGGGTTGCAGACTGGATTCCCGGTAGGGGGCGAGTCAGGAGCAGCTGATTGATAAAGTTTCTCTCTCTCCAGGATGATTATATCTATCTCTCTCCCTTCCTCTCTCTCTAAAAATCAATAAAAATACATTTTTAAGAACACGGGGGGGAGGGAAGCTAGTAAGGTACAATAAACACTAAAAGTAATTTTTTTCGGTATGGTGGGATTACAGGCAATGCTAATCATATATCTTTTATGTGTATGAGAAGCCCTCCAGGCTCTGTACATGGAGAATATCAAAGGAGGTGCAGTAAGGGCTAAAATTGCGAACTGAGTATAAATCTATG